AAGTCTGGGTGCTGATTCACCGAGCAGATGGACACATATCAAAGCAAAACATACCAACGAGTAAGCATGGTTAAAGGTGTGCTTGTCGAGGAGAGGCAGTGTCTGCTGTCAGATTTCAGTCCTTTTGAACTGCAGCCTTATACAGCAATCCTCTACGCCTGGTGTTTATTTATGAGGTGAACTGAGGATATGACAGTCTCATCTGTTTATGTGACCAAAAAAGCACATAGTTCGCTTTGAACCTTGCACAAATGTGAAAAACTTTCTTGTGCCGCTTTCAGCTTTCAGCATAACACTGCTCCAAGAACCATATAGACTTGTAATAGCTTCTGTTTATGCAGTGTAACAAGCTGAGGTCAGTGGGAAAGTGTCAGCTGCAGCATATGACTGAGCTTTCACTGCATCATGGAACTTGGCACAGCCTTGTAATGACAGATAACAAACTGCATTCTATAGCTTTCAAAACCCTCAAAGGATATGTGGCTGGGAAAGGCTTGCAAATGCCTTCCCTTGATTAATAGTCACAAAACTGAAGTGATCATAATTTAGTCCTAGCAAAGAGATGTACTTCTTTGTAGCAGCAGTAAAGAAAGACACGAAAGCACACAAACCTAAACAATATACAGAAATCATCTTTAAAGAAATTCACAGTCATCATGCCAGACACTAAATGAATTATTTCTCTCATTTCTTGTCTCACCACAGCTTCCTCCCACTTGGACACACATGTTAGGCATTCAGTTAACCTCAAGCATAGCTCTCCTGGACCTATCACTATATCTGTACTCCCCATCACCAGGGTATGCTAGACTACATTTTTGCAATGTAAAAAGAGTGACATCATTTTTTTCTTAAAGTAGTTAGTTTCCTAGAATTCAATTATACCCAGCTCAGCTTAGTCCCAAAATTGCTCATTCCCATTTTCTTTTCTCTCCTATGCCCAGCACACTATCCAGTGCTGCTCCTATGCACAGCTCTTTGCTGTATATCCCATTCTGAACCTCTCATTTTCTATCTACAGCAGCTGCATTTGCTTCCACATCTACAACTTTCGCCGACCTCCTGCTCTTGCATTGCACTTCCTGTGAAGTGTTTTGTTCACGGACCCAGTGGAAGAATATGTTATGACAATGGAGTTATAAGGAAAGCTTTTTGTTTTGTTGTGTCACACACTTTATCCATCCCTTTTTGTCATCTGGTGGTTTTCCTTTCTTGTTCTAGCACATATTTCATGGCTAAAGCTATTTCACAGGCAACCTTGGAAGTCAATCCTTTTTCAGATAACTTTTTTCAGCTGATCCACCTTTCTATCTACTTGGAAATCCATCAGACAGAACTTTATTTGGCTAAAATCCTTTATCATTTAATGGTATATTTATAGAATGAGTTAGAATTTCATGCTATTCACCAGCCCTTGGTGAATCACAGATTTTGTTATTACCGCTTTATTTGCAATCAGTAAATTCTGCTTAGGACAATAATGCAGAACATTACAGGCTGTGTGGAAATGCAAAGTGGAAAACAAACAAACAAACAAACCTGCAAGATACATATAGTACCTTCATTTGACAAACAACTAACATTTCATTTTCTTCAGGAAAGACTTAATTTTTCATTACTTGACGTCCTTTTAAATGTAGCAAGCAGCTCTTCCTGATGTTTTATACACTCAGAATAATACTGTTATGAAACAAAATAAAGGGTTAATTGTCCTTACAGAGCATTATGTCAGTTTCTGGAATCCTATGCTATGAATTGTCATCATTCTGATTTTACTGAAGGAATCTCACCTGAACTTCAAAGCCCACCTATTTATTGTTTGTTTGGTCTCCTCTTCACTGTACTGCCTTGAATATCGGATTACCAAGCTGTAGTAAAATTTCTACTCTGTTCCTCTATTCTGATAATATATTAAAGTACCATGTGGCATAAGGTCTAAAAAAGTTTTTAATTAAAACCAAGTGCTACAATTACACTATCTTTGGGTTTCCTCATGTTTCCTGGGTTTTCTGTGCCCAGTTCAGGAAAAAAAAAAAAAAAAAAAAAAAAGTTGTTGAGAGCACAATTTTTGGTTTTGTATCTTGTAAATACCATGATGCATAAATGATTTGTATTGATTATTGTAAAAGTACTGCTATGGATGTTCAGTTTTAAGATATTCGCTGTAGGAATGATAAATGTTTATGCTTTAGAAGTTACCTCTGATTATGGAATTGCTGTTGCAATACAGTAAAACAAATACATTTTATTACTATGTGTGTTGCCTTTTTTCTCTCTCTCTCTCTCTTTTTTTTTTTTTTTTTTTTTTTTTGTGCTGAATCAGGTCTTTGTTTTATCAAGAAGCACAAGGTGCTCTTCTTAAGACAGGAAAACACAGCAAAACCCTGGAATGAAGTTGCATAATCTAATGTGCCATATTTGCCTTCTGATAACCCTCACCAACAACATCTAAAAGTAGTCATTTGACTTTTAATGACAGCCACTGTTCATGTTATCTTTACAAATTTCCTTCTTGAAAGAGCTGGTCCTCTTACTGTTTAGATATCTCTGCTTCTACATTTGCAAGAGCAGAGGGGGTGTAGTTGGCCTTGTTTCAGTTCTTACATAGTGTCTGCAAAGATTTAAACACATCAAAGTGTCAGCTAGATCGAATGAGCCAGAATCTATTTTAGAATAATTGAAAGTTTGACTTCCATTTGCCCAAGAACTCTATTTAACTTCACTAAAATTCCCTCAGCATCATAAAATTGCAGTCCTGTAATCTTTTTGTGATTGCACCCCTTCAGTGGCAGCCATCTCTGAAATGTTTCTTACAAAAAACTCAACTCTAAATAAACGGTTTTTGTAACAAAGCAGTGGAAGCGTCTTATAGGGAACTACCTGCTGTTCTGTATGCAAATGGACACGTGCCTATTTTTTCCTCAACACCCAGTAGCAGGAGGAAAACCAGGAGGAATACCTATCACAGAAACCTTTGAAATAACTAAAAAGCAAATTGTGTTTCTTATGTTATATCAGCACCTCTTAAAGAAACAATGCGCCCAACAGGATGTTTCTGTTAAGTCTTTAGAAAGTCATAGCTATGTTCTATTCATCTTTATGAAGATGAGGGAAAAGGACTATTTTTTATTTTTTTTTAAGTTACTCTTAAGCACAGAGACAGACACTTGTAAGTAGGGGACTGCCTCAAGTTTGGGCCCTGTGTGAAAAGCCCTTGTGTGAGGACTCAAATTACCTTTCTTAATCTCATTCATAAAGGGCTAACAACAGTTTTAAGACTCTGCTTAATAATTATCACATTAAGAAGGGGCTATATTTACATTTATTTTGAAAATAGTTGATTATATCTCAATACCAAGTTCGAGGTATTGAGGCCTTTTCCTGGCCTCATGGTCCATCACGCTCATAAAAACATGCTGTCTTCCTATCTTCCTCAACCCTTTCCACTTAGAAACACTATGACAGTGGTTCAAATTTTTCATGCAGAAATTCACTCACAAGAGTAGAAAGTGTAAGATACTGTCTCCAAAATCCACAGGTTAACTAATAAACCCTGGAAATAAATAAAGAAAATCTAGGGAGATAAGAAGGAACAATGTAAAGTCATAACTTTGATATCTGCACCAAAAGTCTTCTCTTATTTCAGAAGGTTGAAAACTATGTTTTTTACCCTGGCTTGACGATATTTACACACCAGCCTCAATCCTGGCCCATTAAAGTCATAGGGTCTCTAACAAGCCCATTAATGTGTCATCAGGGCATAAGCAAATATGTCCTAAAGTAAACATTCACTCTAAAAAAATTACCTGCTTCTCCACTATGTTGTTCAAAGCCAAGATGTATCCATAAGAATTTTATCTAAATGAAAACCCAAATTTTAAATTTTAATGGAAAATTGAGAGGAAAATATGAGGTAATTTAACTCCTACAGCCTGGGTCCTTTCTTTAGTCTTTCAAAAGCCATTTAGGTAATAGAAAAGCCTTTCTACTCACACAGTAGACAATGTCTCTGTTTAGGTCTGCTTCTAATAACATGAATATTATTAATCTCTTCTACAAGCTGTGCTAAGAATCTCTTTTGGGAAGCAATGACATCTTTGCATTATTAATAGCTGATTCAATCTGGCTTGCTGTAGTAACAGCTTTTGCCAGCGTGAGATTAGGTTCAACTAACAGCCTTACGAATTTCAGCATGTCTTTATCTAGCAGGGTATTATAATACAGTGTTCTTCTGTGCCCAAGAATTGTAGCCAAACAGAAACCATGCCTGCCTGGTATCATCAATCACAAGCAGGCAATTCTCAGCCACACTTACCACATTTTTTAAGAAATTATTTTTCAATCTCCAAGGGAAAGACTAAAATAAGACAGTAAACACCTTCATGATTCTTCCTTGTTTTATTTTTTTTTTTGCTATTTCTTCATCTATCTTCAAGCACCTCTCCCTGCCTTATGTTAGTTTCTATATTTCTCACTGACTTTTTTTTCTAGTGCATTTTTCCAACTTTCACCAACTGTGTTTCATTTTTCCTTTAAGAATACCTGTTTGTTTTCTGTACCTCCATCTATTTTTAATTTTCCATCCATGTTAGTAAAATGCCTATAATACGATTGAATAGATGTTAGTACTTTAATAGATTTCTAACACCACAAGGGGCAGGACTGGAAGATTGACATTTTGACCCCTCGTTTACTGCCAGATGAGCTATTGGGTGTTCTGGATACATTGGTTCTCCTTTTCCTGTCAGAGCAGACCATTCTTTTGCAGGTATTATCTCATCAGTCTTTCAGACAAGTGTGCACACTAAGCTGGTCTGGCTCATGAGTAATCATTTGTTTTCCACTTTTGTTCATCTTCTTCATTAAATGAGTTTAGGTGCTACAAAAAAGACAAAACTAAGAGTTGGCAGGTGGGTTTGGGAGGGGGAGTATTTATCAGGTGTGGGTAGTTATTGCTGCAAAAGAGGGAAAAATATCTTCTCTGCATTAATTTCCCTTAAGCTGCTGGTCTGAAAGTCTCTTTCAGAAGGAGAGTAGTGTTTTTTTTCCTTCCTTCACTTTCAGTCCTCATTTTTACTGCAGTATTGTTTTATGCAAGGCTCAGCAGGCTTTAAAAGCAGGCTGATGGAGTCAGGTAATACTAAAATGTACAAAATATTTTCATTAAAAATATGAAAGAAGATTGATGTTTTCAAAATTTTGAAACATGCTGTTGAGAAAGTTAACAACCTATTGATTTATTTTTATTTTTTTTCTGAGCTGGTAGCAACTCAGAGGGAACTTCTGTTTTACAGTGGAAATTCTCCTTCCTCTACAAAGAACTGATTAAATTGTGGATGCAAAGCAAAATCAAGATTCTAGTAGAAAAATATGATTGAAAAGCATTTGACAGGAAGCATTTTTACTACCTGGAATACTGACTTGAGTGTATTTCAGATATTACCAGAAAAACATTTAAGAAGGCATAGGACACAGTTTGGAAGAAAATGAGAAATAAAAGTAACCAATAGAAGCTGGACAAAACAGTTGTTTGAACCATCTTTTCCTACTTTAAGCCTTATTGCTTTTATTACTGAGACTTTACCTAATATTAGATATATAATTTGTTTTTATTTGCTTTTCTTGCCTTTAATATTAATTTTAGGTCTTTTAGAAAAATGAATAAAGGTTGCCCACTCTTAAAGCAAGGAAATAATTTCCTGAGATGCTGAAGAGAAGGAAATATGCCTAAAACAGGATGATAGAATAGGATGGGTCCTAAATCAATACCATGGACACAAAAACAGTCAGCTCCTCAGAGAGTCTGAGCAGGATACAGATTATGGTTGGCAAGACAAACAAGGAGCATCTGCAGAGCAGTTAAGTCAAAACCAGCCAAGCTAAATTCAGACCAACAACATAGAGGTGAAAAGGTTTGCATTGTGCTGGCTAACCTTAACTATCCAATTTCATTTAACTACTTTTTGGTTCTCACTGTTTGTACTTGATATATCAATTTCATCTTTGTAAGATTAATGTATTTTTTCCATGAAGTTTTACTTTTAAAAAAGCAGAAACTAAGAGTAAAGATCCCAAGACACATTGTCTTTTTCCCTGGTTTCACATTAGGTTGACATTCAAGCTGAATTTGAAGAGCTTTTTGTTAGTGCTCAGTGGTATCGATAAACAGTTATCTCATGTATCTCACAGGAAAATACATGGAAACATTGAAAGGATGTTTAAAAGATCAGGGGAGATTATATGATAAAATAATATTTATACTTTTCACATACCCCAACATAGTCAGAAAATTATTATGACCATGTTTCAGGTTTCATAGTAAGCCCTTTTTGGGAGAAATGAATTATTGCAGGCCTAAGAGCTATGCGGCTGCTGAAAGACTACCAACCGATGATGGTCCCTCCCTCCAGATGAGTGATATCAAAAACATGGTAAGACCTTAATATTTAGCTGTAAAACTCAAGGGAGAATATATTTACATGAAGTGATTATCTCTTATGTTTCTGGACATTCTAAAGATACATTACATTCTCCTAATAATACTTGCCTTCTTTTTGATATGATGTTTTGGAAGAACAGCTTGCACTTATAATCAGTACAATTTATCACCTATCCCCAAAGTACCCTGCCGTTGAAATGCCTGACATATATATTAGGTGTTGTGGATTTAGCAAAAATTGAATTATAAATTGCCTTGCCAGCTTTTGCCTCTGGAAATAATGAAAAAGTGACCTAAAGAAATGTTCTCCTGAAGGATTTATTTTTAGTGGCTATAGAGAAAAAAACAACAAACATGGATTGACCAGATTTTATCATTTTAAGCACTGAATAGCTTGGTCTCAAGAAAAGTTTTCATTCTTTTGATTATTTTTTTTAAAGAAAAAAGACTGCACTGAGAGTGCTTGAATGTCTCTGAAAATAACTCAATTAAGAAAGGGGAAAAAAAAAAAAAGAAGGAAAAAAAGAAAAAAAAAATAAAACATTAACAAAACATTAATTTGTACTCAGTAAGCTATGAGAATTTCAAGGTCTTGTGCCCAAATGAAGTCAAGTTAAATGTCATCCAAAATACTTTCTTTTCTCTTCTCTGGTAAGTGCCATCTCTCAATGAATGAAATTATTTGCAATGGTCTTTTAGAGTTTAACATTATTCAACTTCTCAGAATAATAGGGCCTTTAATAAGTTAATAATCTAAATTGGCAGGGCTATTTAGAATCCACTTTTAGCAAGTATTCCAGCATCAAACATGGAGCTAACCTAAATGTTAATTGTAAAGGTATTCAAAAATGCAGTAAACTTTGGTAATCCTAATTTTAAACTGACATCTAGTGTTTCCCTATGAATTACATTATTGTCTCTTGATAAATTCCTGCAGGAAAACAAAATGTACCCTGTGTTCATCTACGGTTATTTAATTTAAAATAGTCTACATGAAAATGTAGATAATTTGAGAGTAAGCTTTCATTTTAAAAGATAAATTGAAACTGTAGCCCAGTTTGTGTCATTTGTAAAAAATAATAATAATAATAATAATAAAATAATAATAAGTTTAGAAGTTTTTGCTTCAATAAACCGATGTTGGAACATGAGCTCATATTCTTTGGTAGTTTTTCTGTGTGTGTTTTTTGTTGGGGGGAGGGTAAGTTTAAATACCCAGCATTTTGGGTGTGCGTGTTTTTAATACAAGTGATAAGAGAATACAAAATCTTACTGGGGTGTGTTATGTATGTGTGTAAAAAAAATCAAAAGCAGATACTTATCAGTTAAAGATTGCCTCCTTATTATATTAAATATCCTGTTACTAAATGAGCTGATCATAAAATTCTGATGTGTATTTGGTATTACTTGGCAAATGTGTTTGAATTGTCTTTTTATAATTGATGCATTCTACACTATGACTGCCAGATTATAGTCACATGAAATTCGCTCAGCAGCTTGACTGCATAGGTTAATAATATATAACTGTCTACACCATGTGGAGAGGAGTGCAGACAACTGGAATCATATGATTTTTTTTTTCCTAAATGTGGCTGAGAAATATGAATAATATTGGCATTCACTCGTTTCAGCTTACAAAGTGACTGCTGTTCTTTAGGAAGTGATAAAAAGAAACAACTAACAAGAAAGCAAGGAAAGATATAAAATCTGAGAAGGTGAGTCTTTAACAACTGTAATGGTTAGAATCCTTAACTATCAAGAACAAAGGCAAGAATGACTAACATCTTGAGTGAATAAGTGAATAAGTTTGATAAAGTTGAAAACAGATACACGGATGGAAAGACCAAAATAAACTATTTATAATAAAATAAAGACCGTCACTGAAGGCAGGAGATGAGTTTACAGAATATCTATAAAAGCCTACACAGAAGTGAAGGGCACGAGTCTTGATCCTTTTCACAGTTGTAAGCAGTACCAAGATTAAATCAGTGGAAGGAAAAAACACACAGCAAGAGGAGGAAAAACCAGTTTCCCTGGTGTATTTGTATTTTGTTACATCCTTGTTAGCTTTTAGTGCCTTGCCACTTATTTTTCTCTTTTGTATGGGTATGTACTTGACTCATTGGTCATCATAAGTAACTGAGGATGAAAAAAAATAATAAATATAAGCAAGAAGTTGTAATGTACGTGCATTATATAAAATGCATATAAAGGCTTACAAGCTGGGAATATGCTGAAGAAAAGTGTTGTCATCATATAACCACAAAACATCCTGGAGATTAATCCTATGGTGGCCCTGCATGACACCTGTAGTATATGTGGGCATTAGGTCAAAATATTAGCTGAAGCTAATGATGGGCCCATTATAACCCTCCTTAGTGCTCATTACTTAGGGGACCTTTTGAAGGTGCTTTGTATCATTCTCTAGCTGACAGGCTATTCAGTGAAGGTTAGCAACTCCCTCTGAAGTCCTGTTTCTCTGTTGCAGCTAACTACCTAGCTGGGGTCATGGAAGGCACACATGGATCCTTCACCTAACCGACAGAAATAGTATAGGAAATAATTAACATCTGTATGTGGTACAAAGATTTTGAAGGAAAGTAAATTTACTGTTTTTCAAGGTTAATTTTTTTCTGCATTGAGTATAATCACCACAACAATGAATCAATGTTGTTAGCATTGCACTCAGATCTGTGGAGACATGAGTGTGCGTGATGTGTTCAGAAGGCAGTGGATGAATTCTACACAGATGTTCATGGAGCAGCCAAGGGGTTAAAATAATAATATTCCTGTAATCCTGGTTTATACTGTGGGTGAACGATAGAGTTCTTCACCTCCCATTAGGTCTGGCACTTCAGAGCATCTTTAACTTAAAATGCTCATTCACCCTCTCCTTTTAAGCTATTACTGCAACATCACTGCAATCCATTTAAATTCAAATTTTCAGCTTTAATAACTGCACATTTGATCCACAATAAGCTTCATTCATTAAAACTATCATTTACTGCAAGTGTGGAGTGTCTCCCTTGAAAGACTGTACGGATAACTTGGAAAAAACATTGTGTATTTCCCACTTACTATTTCTTGCATATCTTATTGCATAAAAAATAATAAATCTCTCTTGAAATCTGCACATTTCCCTTCCTGTTCCTGCAATGGCCCGAATGTCAAAACAAAACAAAACACATATATTCAGGGTGATGGACAAAATGGAAGCCTGCCATGCCAGCTCAGTCTTTTCTTACTCTCCCAATTTGAATCTGACCTTGCCTTCCCTAGCATATCAATTCCAATTAGGTATGGAAGCTGTTTTTAAAACAGTCATATTTGCTTTCCCTTAAGCCTTGCTTCACACTATAATTTCCCCCAACTTTCTTAGTGATTATTTGCTGCACTTGCTTAAATAATTACTCCAGTAACTTGTTTAAATCTTTTGTGAAATGCTTAGATAAAATGATACTTACTTGCATCCCAAACTATGGAGGTGAAGTTACCCTTAGGGGTTGCATACTTAGCTATTTCCTGACAGGTAGATTTACAGATTTAACAGATTTTGTTTGTTTGTTTGTTTGTTTGTTTTTCTCCAAAACAGCATTCTTTGTACATGTGCTTGAGCACAATGCATCAGTTTTGGAAACATCAGTTTTATCACAGCAGTATTTATTTTTGAAAGCTTGAATCTATCTGCCCACTTTTAGTACAGTGTAACACCTGCCAACAAAGACACAAATTTGATTTGTCATGAATTCAGCTAAATCAAACTGAAAAAAATAAAAATAAATGAAATTTAGCAACATTTAAAATGTTGAGTCCAGGTACACATGTTGTTAAATTTTAAAACTATAAATAAATAAATAAAAGTACATTTATTGATTAATGATCAGTAGCAAGGGAAGGAATAAAAAAACGTTCTTTGAAAGGCAAGAGAAAATTCCCCCTTAGTAGCACTTCAGATTGAGTATTCTGAGTGCGACTTATTACACTGAAGCCTGAGGTCTTGAAGTAGCACTTGCCTCTTTACTAACTTACCAGGCAGTAGGGGTTACAGGGTATGTGTGTGGGTATTTCTGAAGGGGCAATGAGACACAGGTTTGTCTCCATAACATGTCAGAAGCTACAAAAAAGATCTAGGCGCAGCCAGGAATCAAACCCAAGTCACCTCAGATCAAATGTAGTTAGATCTAATAGGTGGGAATAAAAATGTCAAACAAGGGAGTAACTTGAAGTATCAAAGTACTGAAGCAAACTGGAGTTTTAGCAGTCAAAGCCTCTGTGATATTTTGCAAAAGCTAGAAGTTTACAACCTGACAACCTCCAAGATGGAACTCACTGTAAAATTATAAAACACTGAAGAACGTTTGCACTCATTCTTTTCGCTATATTTCCGCTTAGCCCACAGCCCCAGAATCCTTCTAATTTCCATTATTTTAAATGCATTAGGCTATGGACATGGGGAAACACTTCAGTCAGCACTTTTTTGAACACTTCTTATGTTCAAAATCGTTTAAAAGCTGATTTATTCCCCAAGTAGAGAAGTCTGCAATAAAGAAAATGATCTGTTTCTGAGATGACATTTAGCAAGTTTCAGAGAAAATATTCAGGACAAAGTCACAAGCCTCTGAAAAAAAGAATTTTTCACTGGAAATGATGACAGGTCCTTAAGCAGAGTGGTGTGAACAGCAGAGCTGTAATAAGCAGTAATTTAAAGGCTGTGCACTAGTTAACTATTAGTGCTAGTAAACAAGTGACCCTGATGGGATTTCAAATTAGAGCTTCAAGCAAAACACTTGATATTTAACCCTCTTGCTTTTCTTTCAGCTTATGGAAATAGAAACATTATATCATAGTATTATTGTAGCTCACTCACTTGATAAGGACAGAAAACAGATAATAATAGACAAAACTTCTGTGGCAATAAGAAACTCCATGTTTTGACAAACACAGCCATCAAACCTTTTTTTTTTTTTCCTAGTGGTAATTACTACTACATTTCTACACCGACCTTTGTTGGCTGTGGCATCTGGAAATGAGAAAATAGTGTCTAACTATACATCCTATTCTTTCATTCAGCAATAATACTCAAAGACCAAGTTAAAAATAACCCCCTCTTCCTGAGCCTCAGCCATTTTGCACAGACCCAAGTCAGATGGTGGATTAGATTTTCCTCAGAAGTAAACTGCTAAGCAAATTCTCAGGAAAAGCTGGTAAAGAATCCAAGAAAAACCCTGTATAAAGCTGGCTGGTCTTTAGGAGCTGCACACAGAAGATTTCCTAGGACTGAGCCCCATGTGCTACCTTCTTAAGAAAACTGAGGGAGGAGACATGCTTGAGCAGCTTTCCAGAAATGTGCTGCCCCACTGTATGATATGGCTTGGCTAGATGAGCAGGCAAGTCCTAAATCTCAGTTCTCTTTAACTTGAAGCCTGGACAACCCTGAAGCTCCTGTTCTAACACAACCTCACTACTGATACATATGGGATTTAGATAAATCAAACTCAGATTATTCAAAAGATGTCCATGGTAATCAAGATACCAAGCTGATCACTGTTGTTAAGAAGCAGGAATAACATGATCTCCATTAAAGATTAACCTCTCTTTCCTCAAAGTTAGAGATCACCAAAAGATAACATATACGGTATGAGTTTAAAACAGTGTAAATATATACTGCAATTTGAAGGTGGGCCTGTGTCACAAAACACACCAGAATCTCACTGCCTCCCTGCTCTGTTCTCCTCTGGTTAAGGCTGAAGTAGTCCTACTGTCCAGGAAAAGAAATTGCTGCTTCCTCCTAACCTGAAATTAAGAAGCCCTGACTTTGCATGGAATGCCAGTGACATGTTTAGAGTATGGAAGAGTGCTTGATTTATAGCCATAAAATCAAGAACTTTTCTTGTGACTAAACAAAAGAAAACATTTTAACATTCATTTAAACTACCCCAAAACATCAGTGAGATCTTGTGTCATATCTTCATTCACACATACTGTGGTATTGTACTACATGAGCTGTAAACAGCCTAGGAAAATAAAGGAGAGAATTTCATCACCATCACTTACACTGACTTCCTGCAGGTATGGAAAAAAAAACACTGCTCCTTCTCCTTCTGTTTCTGGTAGTCAAGTGAAATAACTTTTCACTAAGAGGTAACTCCTGTTTGATTTTGAGTGTAAAGCAAGCAAGTGACAGACTATCCATTTGATCATACTCCTGTCCAGCTCCCTTAGGGCTTTACTTAACCTCTGGCAAGTGGTAAGAGAGAAGAATTTTCACAGCAACCCCGTCATCTCCCTTCTATCTGCTCCTTAAATATCATGTCTGCTGTGGTTGACTCTGAACTATAAGACTGTGCAAGAAGTCTAGATTTGTCTTAAAATTCAACATGCTAAGGGAATACAACTTACAGACAACACTTTTTCTGAAAGTGGTGTGAATGCTGTCTGTTCACACAGCTCTCTATATATATAATAGAAATGAAAATGAATAATAAATGTCTATAAAATTTGAGACACTAAAGAATGGCTGTGAAAAGAAATAGTGAAGAGAGAATGAAGTTTTAAAAATATTTCTGCTCCATGCAGTTAACATTAATCAGGTGTTGGAGTAGGATTTCATAGAAAACTCTTAATATAAAACTCTAGAAAACTCTTAATATAAAAATATTAAGGTCTCTGTAGCTAGCTTCAAAACAGTGTTAATTAAATATATATATATTATATATAATAGTTATATAATATATATGTTATTCCAAGTAAACTACTATCAGAATAAGCATAGTTAAAGCATAGTTAGCTTTTATTCAAGTCATTGTCAGTTTACAAACAGATTTGTTATAAGGACAGAAGGAAAAATCAATGAGGTAAATAATCTCAAATAATCTCTAAATAAGCAGTAACCTTGTCTTGCTCTCACTACTAAAAAAAAAGAAAAAAAAAAAAAAGATGAAAAAAAAGATGAAAAAAGATAAAGGAAGAGCAAGCAAACTAAATTCCTTTACATGGGCATTACAAATGTTTGCATTTTCCAAGCAGACACTAATACGTCTTTATAACTAAAAGCAAAGTGCTACCATGACTATAAAGGATTAAGAAATGTCTGTGTCTCCCAGATTCCATATAACAGGCAAAACAGTCCTGTAATGGGTCTTTTTTTTTTTTTTTAACACTAAGATCTGGAGCCATTTATTGTCCTTTATTCTCTTTTTCATAGGTTTAGTAATAAAGAGGAATAGTGTAAATGGAGCATACCTTTCTTTGGTGATATTTTTGCAAGTGTTACTAAAGATTTGGCATTTACAATTGACTTTGCAACTAGATATGCTTCAACTAGGAAGTATAGTTCTATGTTTCAGTAATCCTGAGGCTGCAGTATGTTGCAATGTGGAAGAATTCACCCTCCTACGTTTCCTTGCAACACCAATTACATCTGCAAGAATATTAAAACATCTCCCCCAGGTCTCTTTCAAACTCCCTTTCAGCAAAAAGGATTCAGGAAACTTCTTACCCTATCAATTTCCCTCAAAATCCTTTCTCTTGTTACCACATAAAAAATAAATTATAGAAAAGAGCTGGTAAAGCAGCTCATAGAAGAGAAATGTTTACATTCCAGTTCTCTCAGAATTTGTTGTAGTCACTTTCTCATAAAGTTTTTTTGTTGTTTTGTTGTTGTTGGGTATTTTTCTTTGTTTTGTTTTGCTTTCTAGGGAATAGGACATTTCCCTGTAACATGGTGTAATGTTAGTCACTTTAAAAAAAATTAGAAATTCCAGCTGATACTTCAAGTCATTACAGCACCACATCAGCACTATTGCAACCAGATACAATTCCACTGACCAGGCCTCTAAGCACACGTCTGAATTTTCTTCATAAAGTCCCAGCATATACTTCTAAGAACAAGGGAAATGTATCCTTAATTTTTCACTAAACTACTAAATTAATTGTTCACAGATATACATAGCAAGTGGTCACAATATTCCTTGCATATTTGCAGGAAAGCTACTCTCCAGCACAAGCAAGCCAGACCAACTAAGATGCCAGTACTGCTTAACGGGGTTTGATTTGTGCTAGGGAGACAACACAGTCCAGTGAGTAGCACAAAAAAGCTCCCCAATCTGAGCTGTAGCATTATCCATTTGAGGAGACACTTTGATCTAGTCATTTGGGAGCTGCAGTTTCTCAGTCAGTAAGACACAAATCTTTGTGCCTACCCACCTCTGCAACATATTTTGCCAGTGGAAAAACACTACACCGACCTATGTTCCAATTTGTGTAATTTTAGTCAGTATCTGTGATTACTTTTTAAAACATGCATTTTGAATTAAAGAGGACAAAATGGTTTGCCTGTCCTCAGCCTTTTTCTGGTCCTGCCAGACCTAGTTCTGTTCATCTTCCTGCTGGTTCCAGATATCTGCTGTGTGATCCTATTCTGGCACGCCATTCCTCTCTCATGTCTCCAGAAACTCTTATTCTCATTACTGAATGAGTACATTTAGCAAAATTAGTCATGTAGCCTAGCTAATTTCTTTTTATTTTTTTTCTGTTTGTTTTTGTTTTGTTTTTGAGTTAGCCTGGG